TTCCAGGGCACAGGCAGGAGTACTGAGGAGGTGAGGAGGCACAAAATAAGTAAATGAGAAAGGCCCCTTCACTTTTACAATGTTTTTTATTATTTAATTTTTTTTCCTGTTGGCTCCTCCTTAATTGTGTTTTCTTTTCAGTGTCTGAGCTGAGGGTTGTTCTGCTGGGGAACAGCTGTGTTGAGAGGAGTTCAGTGGGGAACTTCATACTGGGAGAGACTAAGTTCAACACTGATGAAGAACCAGACGACTGTCTGAGAGTCAGTGGACAATTGAAGGGGAAAGAAATAGTTCTGATCAACACCCCAGATCTGCTGCTTCCCAGCATCTTACAACAGAGTCTGAGAAGACCTCTAGAAAACTGTGTGAGACTCTCTGATCCTGGACCTCATGTGTTCCTGCTGGTTCTACAGCCTGAAGACTTCACTGAGGAACACAAACTGAGGCTCTGCAGAGTCCTCAAACTCTTCAGTGATCGACCATTTGATCATTCACTGGTTCTGATATCAACACCCAGAGACAAGAGTCCAGGTTTCATGGAAAAATACATGAACCATCCGCCCTTAAAGGAGATGATCAGAAAATGTCACTACAGGTTTCTGTGGAGGAAAAACCTTGAACTTCCAGAGCTGTTAACTCGCCTGGGTCAGGTTGCGAAAGAGAACAATGGAGAGCATCTGAACTTAAGAGGTGAGTCCTACTTGATATGAAATCTGCTCATTAAATTTCCTGCAGTTAAAAATATTCCAGAGATCTCTGAGGTTCAGCAACACAGATTACATGTGAATAAAAGAATAAATTAATATCTTAATTTTCTGTGTCCCTACAGAGCAAGATATATCACACAGGATGCTCATCAGAAGATCCTAGATGACTGGAACAGAAACAGAGTTGAACACTTTCACATTTGCTGGATTGTTTCAGCCCACTGTTTGCATGTGATTGAAACATTTGATAAAATGTCATATCGCATGTCATTTATCAACATTTATCAGGGGTGTCAACAAGAAGAATACATTTTAAATTAATCTGTCTATTTTCTAGTTTAAGAAGTTAAACCTCTTTCTGTTGTGAGTTTAGCTCAGTTGACTTATTGTAGCTGATGACATCACAAGTGGTGATCTTTGAAGTAAATGAAGCAAAACTGAGAGACTCTGTGACAAGTAAAAGTCCTGCATTCAAGAATTCACTTAAGTAAAAAGTTACAAAAAGTATTATTAGCAAAATGTACTTAAACCTGCTGTTTGTAAACAGAAATATATTTATTTGTATTTATATTTATTTATTTAGATAGAGTAAATGTAAAAGCTACAGAGCCTTCTCCGAATATTTTACAAATACCAACTTGTCATATGCTCTCAGTCCTTCTCTTCTCTCAGCGCTCTCCATCATGCAAAGCTACACCAATGGCTCTCCGTGTCTGTCCTCGCATCGCTTTCTTTTTTTTAACTGAAATGTTTTGTCTTCTGAGTTTCTTTTTTTTCTCTGGAGCATCATAAATGTTTCTTGGGCGCTTCTTAGGTTTCTCCTCGACAGGCTCTGCCATAGCTGATGTAGCTAGTCCGCTGCTGCAGTTGCTCCAGAGCCATTTAGTTTTATTTCAAGTGGCTTCATTGACATTAATGCATATAATTTGATGTTGCCAAATCATATTAACACAAACTATACAATCATTTAATTAATAGATGTTATTAAAGGTGGATCGTTAATAAAAAAGAGTAAAATGTTTGGAGGTGGAGCACATTGTAACTCCTTTATACTGTTGGATAGTTTAGTCCATCGCACAGAATCAAATTTTATACTATTAAGAATTAACCAAGTAACTGAAGTTGATAGAGAAATGTAGTGCCGTAAAAAGTACTTTTCAATCTGCGATATAGTGGCATAGAAGACGAAGAAGTAGAAAGTAGCATAAAATTGGAACACCAGCCTGTTCTCATTCCCAGAGTGTCAAATAGCCTAGCTGGAGCCTACTTTGTCATGTCTTTCAGCGTCTGGTAGCAACACACACAGCACCCTTCTGGAAGCCCTTTAGCGTTGTTGTTTAACGCTAAAAGTAGGCACACTATAAATAACAGAAAAGTCTGAGTGAGGATGGGTGGGACAAAAACCAGACCTTCAATAAGGAGAGCGGTGTTTGTTTCCTCACGTAAAACAAAAACTCAACAGCGATTCCTTTTGGTGATGTTACAAAACTTATGTAAACAGCGTTACTTAACTTACATAATTTAAGTTACGTAAGTAACATAATTACTTTAAACCAAACCATGATCTTTTCCTAAACATAACCAAACTGTGCCGTTTTACATCATTAACCACTAGTTTCATAACCGGATGTTGTATTTATTCTTACTAACTTGACCACGGAGCCCTATGTGTACAAAAAGTACTTTCTCAAGAATAAAGTGAGTAATATTTGTTCTCCGATAACTGGAACAGAAATCTGAATATTTTGTAGATTGCTGTCCTGCAGAGAATTGTTAGTTTGGGTGCTGTGTTGTAGGCAACAATCAGTCTAGTTGCAGTGATTCTAATGGAAATGAAGGCTAATAAAGGAGAGATAGTTCTTTTTACTGGCTTAAGCAACATAATTTATGTTAAAACATACAACCCTTTAAACATATATTACTGATATGTGTATAGTCTTGCTAAACAAACAATACACGTGGTGTTAACATTAGGGCATGTTTAACCACAGACCTGTACTTTTGCTACTTAACATACGGTGAAAATATGCTGCTTATTGAAATGTTGAGATTTGTTTTATTTTATATATGTATTTTATTTTATTCAGTAGCACAAAGACACATAAAATAGATATTAAAAAGAACACAGTATGAATTATGCAGAGGTAAGTAACGTATAGTGAAACCTCCCCTCTGGATTGTCAATTGATATTATACCAAATTATTAGAAATAAATAATAATAATAACGATGACAAACAATTAAACAAAATATACACAGCATACATACTGAAATTTTAATGTTGTTGATTGTACATACAGCAGTATGGTATGCTCCCTTTACTTTTAGAACCACACACAGACCTTTCTCCATGCCCACTGAATGATCATTAAAGAATCTGAATTTAACTCTCTGTCCTTCTCTTTGACCAGAGTCCCAACCAGTCTGTCTCTATCAAGATTAATTTTACATCTTCATTAGCTTTAATTAAGCTTTTGTGGAAGGTGATTTCAAACTTTTGGTACTGTCTGGTCAGGTCTGCTGTTTTACACAGTAGCAGTGCTAACAGTAGTATTAAATTAGATACACATTAAACCCTCAATTAAGGTGGATGCAGACTGATCATAACAACCTTTGCTGATTCAGTGTAATCTGCAATGATCCACTGTGATCGACTGCACCTCCGCTGTGTTGACAGGGTATTGTCCAGCAGGTGGAGCTCTAACTGCAGATCTGCTAGTACCTGGATGATTTTGTGTATTTTGGTCCTAAAGTGTTGATTCATCTCTAAAAATCTCTCCGACTGAGACAAATGTTTATGTCCACATTTAGGCTGACGTGAACTGTAAATTGGCCCATTTTTTTGTTTTTTATCTGGAAAATGGATTAAACCTCCAGTTGTCCCTGATCTAGTGAAGCATGGGCTCCACTCAGTCATCACAGCTATACTCTCAGGAACAACCAAGAATCTTTACATGCAGAATTCTGCAGATACATTTTTTCACATAAACAGAAAACACCTATAAATTAAATAAATAAATTACCCTAAATCCAGCCCCATAGACACCCTCCATTCCAAGCCCTCCCAACCCAAAAGCTGAGCCCAGAAGAGTCCTCTGTGTCAGCTGGTGCTGAGACTAACTGTCCTCTCTCAGATACACTCTGACCAGCCTCTGCTTTCCAAACACCAAAGAGAGTAAACCAAATTATAATGCAATGTGAAAAGACTTATGTGGAACAGTCGAAATAAGAAACTAAAAGCCAGAGTACATAATCTAAAAAGATGTCATGAATTGGGAATATCTCAGAAAGCAGAGACAGATCCTAACCAAGTACACACTCAGTGACCACAAACTGGCAATCGAAAAAATTAAGACACAAAAAATCTTGCGACCAAAAGACGACAGAATATATGATCAACGTTTACATCCTCCTTTAATGTAAACATTTAGTGAAGTGTTTAACCACATGAGCTGAATGAGCTCTCAGCTCCAAAATACTCAGAGGAGAAGGAGACAGGACAAATCTGGATGCCCAATATGTATCAACATGGCCCAACTTGAGGACACAAAAACATTCATTCAAAAAAAAATTTAATTTTATATTCAGTGTTTTTAAATGAATGTCTGCATTTTTTAAAATATGTTTAACTGCAGTGGCAATAAACAGCAGCCCAGCGCAAGTTCCACATAGAAATTTAAAACACTAGTAGTGATAGTGGTAATACTCTAAACATCAATAAGAGTAATAATAGCAATGATAATAGAAAAGTAATGTGACTCAAAATCTCAAAATGAAAAGTGCTCCAGGTTAATAGACAGATTAGGCTGTTATAAATAAAATGAAACTGAATTGCAGAATATCCCACTTTATCTAGTGTGTTAGCATTTCTGCGTTTTCATCAGATAGTTTCCTCTCTTCTACCACACGTCCAACTGATTGTACACGGGGCAGAGAGGCTCGGGCAAGTTGAGCAAGAGCAACAATCTTTATTATCCTCCAGTAGGTCAATGTTTTCCCTGGAAACTACTACATAAAAACACATGATAGGAAATATCAATAAAGTGATGAAAGACACTGAGGTTTCACATTAAATGTGTTTGTTTGTTTTTGGTTCATGTGCTTGTGTTTAAGTATGAACAGACTTCAGAATGTGTTTTAAAATGTAGCCTAATATGTTCGACAGCTGTTTGAAAATAAGTCATTCAGAGCAGGTTGTCCCTGAACTCCACATGTCCTCCACAAACCCGATAGGCGATATGAAGCTTTATGTTCCTCTTGTTCCGCTGTGGCTGCAGGAAGTTTGGGTTTCTTTGTCTTTTTTTTTAAAACTTCCCACGTGATCGGTTTTTACTTTCACTTTCACGGTAAGGCAGTGTCGCAGCAAGAAATTCAACAGGTAGGTGAACTCGAGCAAAACTGGATCCAGAAAACTATTAAAGTCAAAGTATTTTCTCTGTGTTGTTGGTGGGTCAGTAGAGCTGATGATAGAACTGCAGCAGGTTTCAGATTCACATTATTAACTGTAAAATCAGCGATCTTCCTCCCGTCAGTCGGCTGTTCTCATCAGACTCACAGCTTGTTATTATCAAACTAACTTCACTAACTGATGGTTTGTGTGTTTTGGTCTGATCTGTTTTTAGTCCGTGTTTCATCTACAAAGTCTCTGAAATGAGGAGATTTACTGAGACAAAGTTTCTGTCAACATTTAGGCGGAAGCGCGCTGAAGACGCCATTTCAGATAAAGAGAGGAGTCAGTAGTGTTCGGACATGTTTTGTGTAGGCTAACGTCAGGCCTAAATGCGCAGCAATATGTGAGAGAATCAGTTTAATTGCCGCTTGCCATGTCTTAAGGTCCTTTTCGGACACTTTGCTGTGCTCATAGATCAAACGCGGTAATCACCACATCTTTTAGCTGAATCTCAATGAATGCTACTTCTACAAAGTGTAATAAAATATTAACGGCTCTAGTCCCGGATGTTTTTCTGAAAACCCCCGAATCTCAGAAGGATTTTTGAAAAACAAACAAAAGGCTGAAAATTGAACTATAGAATCAGAATCAGTTTTATTGCCAGGTATGTGTACACATACGAGGAATTTGACTCAGGATTGTACAATGCTCATGATGTGCTTACTTATACAAAAATACCATAACACAATAATAAAATAAAGTCAGACACAAACTAGTATAGACAACACTAATATACATGCTATGAACAAAACAATATAGACATATTGACAAATAGTGCAGTGATCAGAGTGCAAAGGATGCAGGAGTAAACTATTATTCTCATTATGTACATGTTGAAGGTAGATATGATATACAGGTACACATACATGCATACATGTACACATGTACACAGTGTGATGGAGCATAGTGCATAAGGATGCTGGGAAAGATATAAGACCTAATATAAGACCTATGACCTGAGGTAGGTGTATTGGTATACAGTATATACAATATGACATAGTATGAACAGCACTGAAATAGAGAATGGTGAAGAAATAAATAATAAGTGGAAACCAGTAAACAGGTGCTGATTAGAGACAGAGTTACTGGGTTATTGCACAGGAATTGTTCCTGACACTGTGAGTCAGAAATCAGCTGTTCATCAGAGTGATGGTTGTGGGAAGAAACTGTTCCTGTGTCTGTTGGTTTTGGCGTACAGAGCTCTGTAGCGCCTACCAGAGGGGAGGAGCTGGAACAGGTTGTGTCCGGGGTGAGATGGATCTGCAGTGATGTTTCCTGCCAGTTTCCTGACTCTGAAAAAGTCCTGAATGGAGGGCAGGTTGGCACTGATGATCTTTTCTGCAGTCCTGACTGTCCGTTGTAGTCTGCTCCTGTCCTTTTTGGTGGCAGATCCAAACCAGACAGTGATGGAGGTGCAGAGGACAGACTGGATGATGGCTGTGTAGAAGTGGATCAGCAGCTCCTTAGGCAGGTTGAGCTTCCTGAGCTGGTGCAGGAAGTACATCCTCTGCTGGGCCTTCTTGATGATGGTGTCAGTGTTGGGCTCCCACTTCAGGTCCTGGGATATAGTGGATCCCAGAAACCTGAAGGATTCCACAGCAGACACAGGGCTGTTGAGTATGGTGATGGGGGGCAGAGTGGGGGGGGCTCCTCCTGAAGTCCACAGTCATCTCCACAGTTTTGAGGGTGTTAAGCTCCAGGTTGTTCTGACTGCACCAGAGAGCCAGCTGATCAACCTCCCGTCTGTAGGCGAACTCATCACCGTCCCGGATGAGGTCGATGACCGTTGTGTCGTCAGCAAACTTCAGGAGTTTGACAGATGGGTCTCCTGAGGTGCAGTCGTTGGTGTAGAGGGAGAAGAACAGTGGGGAGAGCACACACCCCCTGGGGGGCGCCAGTGCTGATAGTCCGGGTGCTGGATGTGATGTTCCCCAGTCTCACCTGCTGACTTCTGTCAGTCAGGAAGTCTGTGATCCACTGACAGGTGGAGGCTGGCACAGTGAGCTGGGTGAGTTTGGTGCTGAGGATGTCCAGGATGATGGTGTTGAACGGCGAGCTGAAGTCCACAAACAGGATCCTAGCATGTGTCCCTGGAGAGTCGAGGTGTTGCAGGATGTGATGCAGACCCTGATCCTGATCGTCTACCTTTGGAAGAGGTGGCTCACGTCCTCTTCACAGATCTTGAGTGCGGGTGAGAGGTCAGAGGGGGAAGGTGACTGTTTGAAGATCGTGTTGGAGTGGTGGAGAGGTGTGACTCTGGGCTTTTCAAACCTACAGTAGAAACCATTCAGCTCGTCTGCCAGTCGTTGAGTACCAACAGTGTTGGGGGATGGTCTCTTGTAGTTTGTGAGTGTCCGTAGGCTTCTCAACAACAACGCAGGGTCGTTGGCTGAAAAGCTGTTATTTAGCTTTTCAGCATAGCACCTCTTTGCAGCTTTGACCTCTTTAGTCTTTCCTGGTCTGGTTGTACAGGACTCTGTCCTCACTTCTGAAGGCCTCCTTGGTCTGACGAAGCTGCCTGAGTTTCGTTGTGAACCAGGGTTTTTGGTTGTTGTATGTGCGGAAGGTTTTAGTCGGCACACACATGTCCTCACAAAAACTGATGTAAGATGTCACAGTGTCAGTTTGTTCGTCCAGGTCAGTGGCTGCAGCCTCAAAAATACTCCAGTCAGTGCAGTCAAAGCAGGCCAGGATTCAGTGAAACAGATCAGCAGATCTGCAGAAGTCCGAGTTGGTTCTGTTGAGGAGCAGCGGTTTGTCCATTTTTTGGCCAGAGAGCGAACATTCGCCAGGTGGATTGAAGGGAGCGCAGTGCGAAATCCCCGCTGTCTCAGCTTAAACAGCGCGCCCACACGTTTTCCCCTGCGATGTTCCCGAAGGATCCCAAACAGAGCAGCCGCTCCTCCAACTAGTAACTCCGGGAAAGTTCCAGGGTCAATAAAGAGCGGTGGAATAGTATGAGCAGTTGAAAGTCCAATGTTTAAGAGCTCTCTTAAAAGTTACCAGTGAGGGACGGCAGAAAACAGCGTTAATTAACAAAAACACAAAAAGCGCTACAGAGCGTTATCCCGAGGCGGCCGTCTGCGGCGCCATCTTCAGAGATGGGGAAAATAAATAAAATAAAAAAATTACTCGCTTAACTAGTTACGTGCGCAGGAGCGAGCGAGAGATTATTGTTAGTATTTATTCTCCTGCAAAGTGGAGAATAAGATTATAGCTGTAGCTCTGTGTCTGTCCTCTCTGCTCCACCTGAAGCTGTGAGCTGTACTTTTATCAGAGGCGCTGAAATGAACTTGTGTGGATTTGTGGTGAGGTTATTCACCTGATAGGCAGAGGAGGCATTATACATACGCTATTTCATTTCAAAATCTATGTTTTGCCCTCTTTCCTAATGTAAAGTTTTATTTGGCATTGCCTTCCTGGCTCAGGAGATTTCAGAGCTGGCTCATATAGGAGGCAGTTTACTAAAGGCTTGTGCAGACTACACGACTTTCAGCGTCGTCCCGCTCGCTAGGGTTGGGCCGATAGACGATGCCATCGTCCATCAGCGATGGCTGACAGACATCACGACGTTGAGCCGGCATTGTGATTGTAAAACCCCGCCCCCCCAGCAAAAAAAATATCTAAAACGCTCACATTTCACAGGTTTTAATGACCACGAACATTGTTATTATTGTTTTAAGTATGCTTTGGACCTGCCTCGGAATTCTCTTCTCCCCACACTCACACACACCTACACCTCAGGTAAACACCTGACGCCTCACTTAATTTCGCTACATTTTCCATTTATACCTTTTATAACTTAACCAGTCTGTAATCTGCATTTTGCTTCATTAACCGAAATGAGCTGTCATCCAGGCTGTGTGCGCAGTTACGCAGTAAAGCGCTGGTGGGCGCTTGTCACAGTCAGAGCTGGGCAGATGCAAACATTTAGAAAATCATTTAGAAAATCAGGCAAATATCTTTTCTGTTCAAGGCTTTATGTTCTACTAATACAAGTGAAATCTAGTGAGCGCACACTATAGCACTGGTGACTGTCTCTTTCACATGCCGGCAAGTGAAATACTTTAACTTTCCATTAACGGCGCATTAAAAGCGTCTTTAGTGTCTGCAGAGCAAATGAAGACTAGCCTACACACTGTAACATCTATGTTAGACGATCACTGCATTGATTGAGATATATTAAGTGTCCTGTTGTTGAACAGAGCATTGCTTTGGACATTAGCCTGTTTCTTTTCTTTAAAACGCATTGGGTACTATTTGTTTTATAGCGATGTCCGACGGCGAGTCCATAAACAGAATGTCGCTGGTGAAACTAATCTTTCACTCACTACCAGCTGTTATTTATTTTTGCAGAGAGAGAGAGAGGTGGGTAAAATAATTCTGTTGGGTTTTATGCATGACGCACAGCTTCCTCTGTATGTATTATCTGAAGATATGATGATTTTATGGGCTGGGCTAAGCCCCCAATGTTTCAAGATCCTAAAAACGCCCATTTATCACAATTGATGGAGAAGGATATTATAGCGTTTAAAAGCAGTATTTGGAGGTGCATGCAATTCTTGGCAGGCATGCAAAACTCTGCATAACACCAGCACTGCTCCCCGCCTGGTCCCCTCGCCCCTGGCCTGAAAACCACACACTCTGGTGCTTTGAGCTCCCAGTATGGGCAGAGTAAGCTAATTTGACCAGTAGGCTAACTAACTGGGCTAGTTAGATAATGAGCACTTAACGGTCCGCTATCTGTTCATCAGGGAGTAAATCACAGAGTTGAGGCAGAGCAGCTCTCCACCTTAGTATAACTTGTATAGCACTGATGCTGCCGCCACCAAGCAAATGTTACTTCTTAAACGACACATTGATGAAATAATATGTAGAAGCTTCGAGTACTAAAATCATCTTTAGCTGCAGACTTAGTAGCAAGTGAGCGGATGAGCGAATTCTGAGAGCGGCAGAAAGTGGCACTGAAAGCAAGCGAATAATTAGACTACGGTCTGAAGGCTAAACAGGACTGGACAGGGGGAGTCACGTTACTTCACATGCGGTAGGATGTTTCAAGGGGAAAAAGTATAAACATTAAATAACAAAATTAACTGACATGGGGAAATTATGTCGGTTAGAGGCTCTGAATTGCGGTTTCGATTCTTTTCAAGTAATCGTCCAGCCCGACCTACAAAACAACATTTTTTGTAATTGATGGAGCAGATCCTGCCATATGACGTATTAGTGCAAAGCATATACTTTAATATAAAACATTTAAACAATTTTAAATTATATTTATAATTATGTTTCTCTAAAAATACACTGTACAGACCACGTACAGTTTGATGCTCTCTTATCTTTATTTGCGTATATGGTACTGAAGTAACCCAAAAGAAACGAAAAGTAATCAGATGAAATTATTTTCACACTTGACATTTTTCTCACGCATTGGAAAAACTAATGTAGCGTCAACTCGGCCCGATTACACTCCACCCAGCTGATGTGACAACGTCGGACACTATGACAGGAATCAAGGGAACCTGGTCTCGTGCAGTGAGTGGCAGACAGTTTGTGATCAGCTAACGTGGCTAGTCGAGATCGATCACAGCCTGGATGAAGCGGGGATGTGCTACAGTAAACTTTCCAAATGTTGAACTCATTGTACCGCATAAATGGTTATGATTATTGACGAGTTAGTAGCCTACTCAAAATTAAAGTTAGACCAACCGCCATGTAGAGCATTTTTCCTCTTCTTCAAAGTTAATGAATAAAAATCAACCCCATAAAGAAATAGCTGTAACTGGAATTAATATTATAATAGTGGTAAACTATATACTAATATGAAATTATAATGAATATAGTAAGATAATTAATATTTTAACATCAAACTAACAGTTTACTATTGCTGCTACTAGCCGCCTACTTCTGAGAGAAACATGTTAACTTGTTGTATTTTACATCTGTTTTACTAAAGTTATTGTTATAAAAATGTACACAAATCAGCTATAGGAGGCAGACAACAGCTGTTGATCACAAATGTCTGGGAAACCCGGGTTTGAACCCACAACCTTCTTGCTGTGAGGCAACAGTGCTAACCACTGCACCACCATGTGGCCATCTCTCATGAATACTGCAAATCTCTTTCCAAAACAACGCTGTCAATGTCGGAGACCCACCTTAAAAAAGTTATTTGCAAGCATTTAAGGAGCCTAGCTAACAAGGAGAGCTTTGTTAATGTTAGAATACAGCTGGGTTGTTTTCATATTTTTTTTGTTTTAAACCTGTCCTGCCCAGTAGCCTGGTATAGAGTGGATACCATGTTTTACTTTAACAAGAGAGTATTAATATCCTCCTTTGTCTGTTTTATTATTTATTTAAATATGTCACCGGGGCAGACGTGGGGATGGGGGCACAAACACCACACATACAGACACCACAAAGAAAGGACAACACCTGCAAGAGAGGGGACAGGGGCTTGAGGTGGAGAAAAACAAACTAAAAAAACAACGTGTCACTGGCCTGCGCCTCCGCACCCCCCTAAGGAAACGCTTCACCAGGGGGTGTGAGAACACAGTCCTGTCCCCGAAGTCCTTGTGACAGGACGAAATGGCGGCAGTGTAGGTTTTAACCGTACTGAACGCCAGTCCCCTGTCCATGAGCAATTGGAGGAACAAAAGCACCGCCGGCAGCGGACAGGCGACCGGGTCCGTCCCCTGGTCCAGACACCAGCGTTGGAAAGTCGAGCACTTAGAGGAGTAAGAGGACTGAGTGTAGGCGGCCCTTGAACCCTAGGTGGTGCGCACCATCTCCCGGGAGAGACCTAAGCCCTCCAGACGTCGCCTCTCAGCGGCCAAGAGGCTGGCCCCCCTCCAGGGGAGTTTCCACAGTTGCCCCACCAGCAACCGCTGGAGACAGGGAAACCAGGACGCGCTAGTGCGCTCGTGGGCCACCAGAGTCACCGCCAAGGTTGAAAACTGCAGGCGATCCAGAAGGCTCGGGATCGGCCACACCGGTGGAAAAGCATACAGCAGCTGGGGAGGCCAAACGGCGTCCACTCCCAGCAGGGGGCGTCCACTCCCAGCAGGGGGCGTCCACTCCAACCCGAGCCAGATCTGGTCGCCAGATTGGGGTGGAGGCGCCACTCGTCTGGGCGAGGGCGCCGTTTGGCCTCCCCAGCTGCTGTATGCTTTTCCACCGGTGTGGCTCCAGCACGTTTATGCAGGGTTCCCGCGGCTCCTTAAAAAGTCTTAAAAGGACTTGTTTGCTGCCAAACTTCATCAGCAGAGTGGTCCTGAACACAGGTTACACATACTTTATTATGTTAACATTGCTCTCTTCAATGCTGGCACAGCACTTAAACTTCAAATGTCCATCCCTAGTCATAGTGTGATGCCGTGTGGAAAGAAACTGTTGTCAAGTCTGCTTTCTTTCCACACACCACAGGGGGAAATGTGTGTGTGTTGGGAGGGCTACTAATGTAACATGAGGCAGTAACAGATGAGGTAAGACAAGTTAACAAACAAGATAATTTAACATTTTTCATTATTCTCTTTTTAGGTTCTTAAACACAACAGTTGGTATCCAGCCGTTCTGTTTCCAGCAGAGTGACATTATGGGGAGCTCATCATCTAAGCCTGGTAAGACTTTCAGTCTGGATTAGACACATTCTGCTGTCACTGTCCACATATTACACACATCACAACTAGCAACGATTACAGATTTAGTTGGTACGATTATTGTCAGAGAAATAATCACGGTTTCACGATTATTACAATTATTATGCATAAATTAATTTCACAACACTAGTAATGACTTGTTGTAAGTTGATTTTTAATATTTAATTACATTAACAATTATATTTCTATAATATGTAAGTATTAATAATAATAATAAGAGGAATTTTAACTTTTATCCCTTAGGGCAGGGGTATTCAATTAGATTAACTAGAAGAGGTCTAGTTAGAGAAAAATTTCCTGAAGCAAAGGTCCGGAACATCAAAACGACGAACTTGCGTTATCATTCTGTACTATAACCTATAGTTGTATCAACACATGTTTTTAGTCAACAACGGACTGTCAAATCAAATAATATTTCAGTCAGTTTTCACATCAAACTGGAGGGATAATAAATAATAACTATTCAAATAATAAATTCTAAATTTAAGTAAACTAAAGTGCCTAATTTTTAGAAAAAATGTAATAAAAAGTGTAGCTTGAAGTGATGAAGTGTAGTCTTAACCAATTTTATAATAAACACTCAACACATCATAACAAATGAACAGCTGTAATGCCTCCTCTTCTCTTTCATTTCCTCTTACAGAGCTACCACTTTCCTACTTTCTGTTGTTCAGTGAGAAACGTGAGCTCCAGCTAGCATATTGGAGATCTATGAGATATTCTGGTTTTGAACTGCCCGTGGGAGGAATGTACATGTAAAAATCTGTACATTCTTGATTAAAAGTCATGTGAAATCTCTTTTATCTTTCGTCTCCTCAATTCGGGTGTGTTTCCAAAACGTCTCTGGTGAATCTCGCGGACTCGACTCGCAAGCATCGGTATGCACAGATTTGATTGGCTGAGCAGCGTCACATGAGAGGATTGGAGCACATGCGATTGGTCTGTGAGTTTCCTGGTCCTCTAAACCAATAGAGTAAATGCTAGAAAAGCTGCGCGGGTTAAAATAGAAACGCTCCGTCACGAGGTAGTAAGTCTCAATAATAAATGGGCTGTAGGTCGGCGGTCCGGAGAGGACGGCGGCTGGGTCCGGATCCGGACCGCGGTCCGCCTATTAGTGACCTCTGCCTTAGGGGAAATTGTTATAAAGGAGGGGAACAAACTGAACTGTTACTGTCATCAACTCTCATCTAAACATATGTTTTAGTGAAAATGAGAGAAAGAAACTGAGTGCAGTGTTAACTGGTAGCCTGTAGTCCTGAAAGTCTATAAGCTCCTGATGTATGTTAGTGTTTTACACCTGGCAACATTTTCTCAACACAGACAGGAGAAGACTACATCATGTAACCTTAAATGTTCAATGACTGAAAGTCTGCAGAGGACTACATTTTGTCTTCCATAAAGGCTCTTTCAGAAAAGAAGTGATTTGCACTACGTGGAAGCTGCACAGCGCTAAAGTTCAATTACTTTGACCATGGCATGCTCGTCGTGCGGTGCACATTGCTCGACGCACCAACAAACCATAGTTTAGCCAGTGTACAGTAACCTCGCACGACACTTAAGCTGGTGCACCGCTCCTGTAACTCTGTTTTTGTTTTATGCAAACTGCCACAGTTTCGTTCCCTACCACAGAAACACTCGGTATTGCGGAGCCTTTACGATTAACTGTGACGTTTTAAAGTGCGGTTAATAGTGAAATCCGGTAATCGCTGCACTACATGTCTCTTTTCTATGTTTGTAACAATTGCTATCAGTAATGGTTCTGTATAAAGTAGAGCTGGCCCGAATGTCATTTTTGAGCTTCGAAGCTCCGCAGGTCCAGAGCAGAGTCCGAGAATAGTTTCGCTGGACGGGGGTCCAGGCGGGGAGCACACGGGATGCGCGGTGTAGCGGAACTAAATCTAACACGTTATTATTATCATGCAAAATTCACTTTTAATTTTAATCATAGCGACAAAATGCTCTTCTTCTACAATTGGCCTAATATTATTAGGCTTATTTAAATGCGTTCATTGTGGGGGGGTTTGTGTGTGTTTCTTTGTTTCCAGCCTACAGTTTACTGATTAATTTTAAAATGTAGGAAATTTTACTGTAATGAAATTAAGCAATTGTAAAATTAATACGCCATAACTTCCACACTACTGCTGTCATCACTCAGTTTAAAGTGCTCCCACACAGCTTAGCACTTCATTTCGTTTTCCCTTTGATGTGAACTGGAGCATTACGTTCACTGGTGTCGGCGGAGGTCAGTCGTGCAAAAAAAAGCCCCTTAATAATCGAATCTTATAATTGAAAATTGAATGTGTACCCAAACGGCTGAATATTCAGGTCCAGCCCTAGTATAAAGCACAGCAATTTTCACCAAATGTTCAGTTTTGCTGGTCAAGTCTATTTATGTAGCTCTGTTGGGACCGCACCACATGATGGAACTGAGGAGAGACCTACATGTAGGAAACAAAGCCTTGATAAAGACAAACAGCGACGAAACTTCTCAGGTCTGAGAGTCCTGCCTCTGGGGTGCTGCCGGTGCTAGAGGGGCTCTTGCTATAAGCCCTGGGCTGGAGGGACCTGGCGTCCTCCTGCTTAGGGGGGTGGGGGACGGGACTGAATGAATGATGGGGCCAGTCATGAATCTGGTCTTCTAGCCTCCCTATGACCTCCTTCACCTTTCCCCCTTTGGTCATGTCTCAAAACATACACCCTTAGGACCCTGGGGGGCGGGCAGCCTGCAGGGCGTTTGGGGGGTGGAGCTGCTTTATTGCGGCCTCGCACTTCTTCCTCACTGACTGTCAATTTTAATTACACATTAGACACAGAGGGCTTGGGGGGGTGGGAGGGGCACGATGGGAGGCTCCACTACCACTAGTTGTGGGGTGCCTGTGTCACAACTACCCTCCAATTTTAGTTGCACCTTAGTTACCACACACCTTATCTTTACTCCACCATACAACACTTCACAATCCATGACATGCATCCAACACAAAACAATACATTTACAGAGGCAGGCAGAGGGGTTGAAGGAGTGGGAGAGATTCTAATTGGCCTCGTGTCCTGCCCCTGGAGCCCCGGGCATCGGGGGTGCTGTGGGGTTTGGGCATTTTGGTTGTTCGCTGCGCGGCGGTGGGGTGCTGGGTGGGGGGGGAGCACTGGTCTCGGTCCGGGCGCTTCTCTTCCGCGGGTTACGCTTTTTGCGTTCCGTCGGCATTACGTTGTCAACTGGCATTTGGGTCGGGGTCTTCTGCGTTTGCATCGCGGTGCATCTGGGAGTCTTTGTTTTTTTTTTTTGTTTGATTTATTCTTTTTCTTTCTTTCACCCCTATTGGCTACTGGGGTTCTTGCCTGCCTGTTACAGTCGTGGCGTCCCACTCTCACTAACAACTACATTCTTTAACAGGCTTATGCGCACACACATGTACATACACACACACATACAGACACATTCACCCACACGCACACAGACACACAGACACAAACAAACTTAGGTTGTCCCTGGTAGAACTATTCCTGATGCTTTTCTTTCAGTTACTTATTTAAATTAATTATTATTCCAGCTCTCGTGGCTGTGTTGTGTTGCTTATTTAGTGTGTGTGACTGTTTCTTGTTTTCATTGTTCTCTTAGTTGTCTTAATATGTCATTAATATGTCAGCTGTTTATTGCTGCTGTTCGGCTGGTTGTCTTTTACTATTATTATTATTATTTTTATTGTTTGTTTTTGTTTGTTTGTTGTTGTTGTTTTTCTCCTCCCCAAGCCCCCCTCTCTGTTCTATTGCAGGTTTCGTTGCTTTCTGCAATTGGTGTTTCCCACTGCTTTTCCCTGTTGTCCCCACCTTCCATCCCCCTTCTCTTACAGGTGTTGTCTTTTCTCTGTGCTGTCTGTTTGTGCCCCCCCATCCCCGTGTCTGCCCCCCTGTCCGGCCCGGTGACAAATCAATACATAATTAAATAAATAATAAAACAGACAAAGGAGTATTTTAATACTCTCTCGTAAAGTAAAATCTGTCTGGCACAATATGGTATCCAGGTCATTATACTCTATACCAGGCTGCTGGGCAGGACAGGTTTAAAAAAAACAAAAAAAACAACAAAAAAGAAAGTGTAAAGTTTCGTTTGTATTAATAAAAACAAGCATCTTGAGAAAACACTCATTTCAGAGGTGATCTAACCCCGGCTGGATACAGCTGGCTCTGGAGACAATCTCCACAAATCAAACATGCTGATATTTATGAAACAGTTGATGAGTCTGTCACTGTGGAAGTTTCAGCATTCAAAGGTACATCCACTGTGTGGACACCACCTGGGTAGCTGCTGAGAGTTTTATCTGGTTTTTTATTTTTTATTTAGTATGTATCCCCAATGAAATGCAGACAAAAGCAAAATTGTTTCGACTTAGTTTTTTGCCTATGCTCATAAATATGTACATGTTCTGTATACTTTCAGCACCAGATGAGCCTCCATTGACCCAGAGCAGAAATGATCAGCAGTCTGACCGTAAGTTAAACGGAACAAGTCTGAAATATTCTCATTATATTAACATCTAGAGTTATAGCATTTTGTAGGTTGTGGAAACAAACTCACATTTCATTAAAAGTTGACTGGTGACGATAGGAGTGGAAACAAGCACTCAGGTTTGGAGAAATACAGGTTCAGTAAATTTGCTCCAATTTCCATTTAGTCTTTACTTACACTCACGCCTCACTCTCTCTCCCTATTGAATTATTTTCTCGCTTATTTTGTAACAAGATAGTAAGTCTTTTAGTCGTATTTTGGGAGGATAAACGGAGACAGGTGGCATCTGAGCCAAAACATGCCTATGCTCATAAATATGTACTGTTCTGTATACTTTCAGCACCAAATGAGCCTCCATTGACCCAGAGCAGAAATGATCAGCAGTCTGACCGTAAGTTAAACGGAACAAGTCTGAAATATTCTCATTATATTAACATCTAGAGTTATAGCATTTTGTAGGTTGTGGAAACAAACTCACATTCATTAAAAGTTGACTGGTGACGATAGGAGTGGAAACAAGCACTCAGGTTTGGAGAAATACAGGTTCAGTAAATTTGCTCCAATTTCCATTTAGTCTTTACTTACACTCACGCCTCACTCTCTCTCCCTATTGAATTATTTTCTCGCTTATTTTGTAACAAGATAGTAAGTCTTTTAGTCGTATTTTGGGAGGATAAACGGAGACAGGTGGCATCTGAGCCAAAACATGCCTATGCTCATAAATATGTACATGTTCTGTATACTTTCAGCACCAAATGAGCCTCCATTGACCCAGAGCAGAAATGATCAGCAGTCTGACCGTAAGTTAAACGGAACAAGTCTGAAATATTCTCATTATATTAACATCTAGAGTTATAGCATTTTGTAGGTTGTGGAAACAAACTTACATTTCATTAAAATATTTGCAAGTTGACTGGTGATGATAGGAGTGGAAACAAGCACTCAGGTTTGGAGAAATACAGGTTCAGTAAATTTGCTCCGATTTCCATTTAGTCTTTACTTACACTCACGCCTCACTCTCTCTCCCTATTGAATTATTTTCTCGCTTATTTTGTAACAAGATAGTAAGTCTTTTAGTCGTATTTTGGGAGGATAAACGGAGACAGGTGGCATCTGAGCCAAAACATGCCTATGCTCATAAATATGTACTGTTCTGTATACTTTCAGCACCAAATGAGCCTCCATTGACCCAGAGCAGAAATGATCAGCAGTCTGACCGTAAGTTAAACGGAACAAGTCTGAAATATTCTCATTATATTAACATCTAGAGTTATAGCATTTTGTAGGTTGTGGAAACAAACTCACATTTCATTAAAAGTTGACTGGTGACGATAGGAGTGGAAACAAGCACTCAGGTTTGGAGAAATACAGGTTCAGTAAATTTGCTCCAATTTCCATTTAGTCTTTACTTACACTCACGCCTCACTCTCTCTCCCTATTGAATTATTTTCTCGCTTATTTTGTAACAAGATAGTAAGTCTTTTAGTCGTATTTTGGGAGGATAAACGGAGACAGGTGGCATCTGAGCCAAAACATGCCTATGCTCATAAATATGTACTGTTCTGTATACTTTCAGCACCAAATGAGCCTCCATTGACCCAGAGCAGAAATGATCAGCAGTCTGACCGTAAGTTAAACGGAACAAGTCTGAAATATTCTCATTATATTAACATCTAGAGTTATAGCATTTTGTAGGTTGTGGAAACAAACTCACATTTCATTAAAAGTTGACTGGTGACGATAGGAGTGGAAACAAGCACTCAGGTTTGGAGAAATACAGGTTCAGTAAATTTGCTCCAATTTCCATTTAGTCTTTACTTACACTCACGCCTCACTCTCTCTCCCTATTGAATTATTTTCTCGCTTATTTTGTAACAAGATAGTAAGTCTTTTAGTCGTATTTTGGGAGGATAAACGGAGACAGGTGGCATCTGAGCCAAAACATGCCTATGCTCATAAATATGTACTGTTCTGTATACTTTCAGCACCAAATGAGCCTCCATTGACCCAGAGCAGAAATGATCAGCAGTCTGACCGTAAGTTAAACTGAACTGAGTCAAAAGCACAAACCCCTGGTGCCGTTTCCCTCTATTCATCTACCCCAAAATGTCTTCCGAATGAATAAAAAAAGAATCTCAACTTTTCCCTGTCGGCATCAAATAACTCTTATCCTTGCTTTGTTTTTCAGTCCTTTTTTTTTATTGATTACAGCCAATTTGATAATAACTGTGTCAGTTTAATAAGGATGTGAAATGTTAATGTAGGTCGTGGACACCAACAATGACAGTAATGTAATGGCTCATTGTATATAACGTGAATAAAAGATGAATAAATATCTACATTTTCTGTATCCTTACAGAGCGACTTGTGAGGGTGACTTACATCAGCAACACTATGCGCTACCTGTATCACCGTAAGTTAAACGGAACAAGTCTGAAATATTCTCATTATATTAACATCTAGAGTTATAGCATTTTGTAGGTTGTGGAAACAAACTTACATTTCATTAAAAGTTGACTGGTGACGATAGGAGTGGAAACAAGCACTCAGGTTTGGAGAAATACAGGTTCAGTAAATTTGCTCCAATTTCCATTTAGTCTTTACTTACACTCACGCCTCACTCTCTCTCCCTATTGAATTATTTTCTCGCTTATTTTGTAACAAGATAGTAAGTCTTTTAGTCGTATTTTGGGAGGATAAACGGAGACAGGTGGCATCTGAGCCAAAACATGCCTATGCTCATAAATATGTACTGTTCTGTATACTTTCAGCACCAAATGAGCCTCCATTGACCCAGAGCAGAAATGATCAGCAGTCTGACCGTAAGTTAAACTGAACTGAGTCAAAAGCACAAACCCCTGGTGCCGTTTCCCTCTATTCATCTACCCCAAAATGTCTTCCGAATGAATAAAAAAAGAATCTCAACTTTTCCCTGTCGGCATCAAATAACTCTTATCCTTGCTTTGTTTTTCAGTCCTTTTTTTTTATTGATTACAGCCAATTTGATAATAACTGTGTCAGTTTAATAAGGATGTGAAATGTTAATGTAGGTCGTGGACACCAACAATGACAGTAATGTAATGGCTCATTGTATATAACGTGAATAAAAGATGAATAAATATCTACATTTTCTGTATCCTTACAGAGCGACTTGTGAGGGTGACTTACATCAGCAACACTATGCGCTACCTGTATCACCGTAAGTTAAACGGAACAAGTCTGAAATATTCTCATTATATTAACATCTAGAGTTATAGCATTTTGTAGGTTGTGGAAACAAACTTACATTTCATTAAAAGTTGACTGGTGACGATAGGAGTGGAAACAAGCACTCAGGTTTGGAGAAATACAGGTTCAGTAAATTTGCTCCGATTTCCATTTAGTCTTTACTTACACTCACGCCTCACTCTCTCTCCCTATTGAATTATTTTCTCGCTTATTTTCTGAATTATTTTCTTGCTTATTATGCGTGCTGCTGCGATCTTGTCAGGAATCGCCAAGTGCACGAAAAACAGGATTTGGGCCCAAATATAAGACACCTAAGCAGAGCAGGTTCACTTCCTCAGGGTTTATTAACAAAACATAAAAACTTAATTATGTGACAAAATCCAAACAATCAAAGCAGGCACTCTAAACAACGTAGAATCAGAATCAGAAGGAGCTTTCTTGCCAAGGAGTGTTTTACACATACGAGGAATTTGCTTTGGTCATAAGGTGCTACACATAGACAAACATACGGTTGACATAAATAAATGTAGAAATATATAAATATGGAGTAAACAAATGCAATTTATATAAGAATAATAAAAGAATAGAGAAAAATAATACAACTATTTGCAGAGAACATTACATTTACATTTATTCATTTAGCTGACATTTATCCAAAGCGACTTACAATTGCTATATATGTCAGAGGTTGCACGCCTTTGGAGTAACTAGGGGATAAGTGTCTTGCTCAGGGACACATTGGTGTCTCACAGTGGATTCAAACCCGCGTCTCTCACACCAAAGGCATGTGTCTTGAGAAAGAACAATGGGGCAGGAATTTACATGTGCATTATTAGGGCCCGAGCACGACCGTGCGAGGTCCCTATTGAATTTGCTCAGATTATTTTTAGGGCCCGAGCACGACCGTGCGAGGTCCCTATTGAATTTGCTCAGATTATTTTTTTTTAGGACCCGAGCACGACCGTGCGAGGTCCCTATTGAATTTGCTCAGATTATATATATATATATATATATATATATATATATATATATATATATATATATATATATATATATATATATATATATATATATATATATATATATATTTTTAGGGCCCGAGCACGACCGTGTGAGGTCCCTATTGAATTTGCTCGGATTATTAGGGCCCGAGCACGACCGTGTGAGGTCCCTATTGAATTTGCTCGGATAATTATTATTATTTATTATATATACTTTTTTCTGCAAAGTAGGCCCAAATGACATGGCCTAAACATTCTCGAAAACTCACCAAAATTTGCAATTCTACAAGTTTCGCACATGGGCGTTGCAAAATGACTCGCTAGCGCCACCTAGAAAATTGGAAAAAATTAGCCCCTCGTTCACGTTCAACCTACATGTACGAAATTTTCTGGGGACATGTATCGTATCAAGACGCACAAAAAAGCCTCAAGAACCCATAGCGTAAAGTCAACAGGAAGTCGGCCATTTTGAATTTTACGGCCATTTTGGGATGATTTACACACTTCGTACTTTAACGAACTCCTCCTAGGGATTTAGTCCGACCGACGTCAAATTTCTGCTGTGCCTTCTAAAGGCATTGAAGATGAAAAGTTGTGCTATTTGCGCGTTTTCGTCAATGGGCGTGTCCGTGGCGTCGATGATTCGCCATGAAACAGGAAGTTGTTGTAACTTCAGTGTACATGCTCACATCTGGACCAAACTGTACATCTAGGATGATAGTCCTGCCCTGAACACATGTACATGCCGACATTCACCCACAGTCATAGCGCCACCTGCTGGCAATAGAAAGTGACCTTTAACGAAGCAGCCCCCGCCGCATGTTTCACCTACGTGCACGAATTTTCTGTGGTACGTGTATCTTGTCCAGACGCACAAAAAAGTCTCTTGGAGCCATAGCCTAAACCCAACAGGAAGTCGGCCATTTTGAATTTTACGTCAAATTTTGGATGATTTACACACTTCGTACTTTAACGAACTCCTCCTAGGGATTTAGTCCGACCGACCTCAAATTTGTGCTGTGCCTTCTAAAGGCATTGAAGATGAAAAGTTGTGCTATTTGCAAGTTTTCGTCAATGGGCGTGTCCGCGGCGTGGCGTCAAAGATCAACTCTTCGCCATGACACGGAAGTTGTCGTAGCTTCAGTGTACATGCTCACATCTGGACCAAACTGTACATGTAGGATGAGAGTCCCGCCCTGAACACATGTACATGCTGATATTCACCCACAGTCATAGCGCCACCTGCTGGCAACAGGAAGTGACTTTTAACGAAGCAGCCCCCGCCGCACGTTTCACCTACGTGCACGAATTTTCTGTGGTACGTGTATCTTGTCCAGACGCACAAAAAAGTCTCTTGGAGCCATAGCCTAAACCCAACAGGAAGTCGGCCATTTTGAATTTTACGTCAAATTTTGGATGATTTACACACTTCGTACTTTAACGAACTCCTCCTAGGGATTTAGTCCGACCGACCTCAAATTTGTGCTGTGCCTTCTAAAGGCATTGAAGATGAAAAGTTGTGCTATTTGCAAGTTTTCGTCAATGGGCGTGTCCGTGGCGTCGATGATTCGCAATGAAACAGGAAGTTGTTGTAACTTCAGTGTACATGCTCACATCTGGACCAAACTGTACATCTAGGATGATAGTCCTGCCCTGAACACATGTACATGCCGACATTCACCCACAGTCATAGCGCCACCTGCTGGCAATAGAAAGTGACCTTTAACGAAGCAGCCCCCGCCGCATGTTTCACCTACGTGCACGAATTTTCTGTGGTACGTGTATCTTGTCCAGACGCACAAAAAAGTCTCTTGGAGCCATAGCCTAAACCCAACAGGAAGTCGGCTATTTTGAATTTTACGTCAAATTTTGGATGATTTACACACTTCGTACTTTAACGAACTCCTCCTAGGGATTTAGTCCGACCGACCTCAAATTTGTGCTGTGCCTTCTAAAGGCATTGAAGATGAAAAGTTGTGCTATTTGCAAGTTTTCGTCAATGGGCGTGTCCGTGGCGTCGATGATTCGCAATGAAACAGGAAGTTGTTGTAACTTCAGTGTACATGCTCACATCTGGACCAAACTGTACATCTAGGATGATAGTCCTGCCCTGAACACATGTACATGCCGACATTCACCCACAGTCATAGCGCCACCTGCTGGCAATAGAAAGTGACCTTTAACGAAGCAGCCCCCGCCGCATGTTTCACCTACGTGCACGAATTTTCTGTGGTACGTGTATCTTGTCCAGACGCACAAAAAAGTCTCTTGGAGCCATAGCCTAAACCCAACAGGAAGTCGGCTATTTTGAATTTTACGTCAAATTTTGGATGATTTACACACTTCGTACTTTAACGAACTCCTCCTAGGGATTTAGTCCGACCGACCTCAAATTTGTGCTGTGCCTTCTAAAGGCATTGAAGATGAAAAGTTGTGCTATTTGCAAGTTTTCGTCAATGGGCGTGTCCGTGGCGTGGCGTCAAAGATCAACTCTTCGCCATGACACGGAAGTTGTCGTAGCTTCAGTGTACATGCTCACATCTGGACCAAACTGTACATGTAGGATGAGAGTCCCGCCCTGAACACATGTACATGCTGATATTCACCCACAGTCATAGCGCCACCTGCTGGCAACAGGAAGTGACTTTTAACGAAGCAGCCCCCGCCGCACGTTTCACCTACGTGCACGAATTTTCTGTGGTACGTGTATCTTGTCCAGACGCACAAAAAAGTCTCTTGGAGCCATAGCCTAAACCCAACAGGAAGTCGGCCATTTTGAATTTTACGTCAAATTTGGATGATTTACACACTTCGTACTTTAACGAACTCCTCCTAGGGATTAAGTCCGACCGACTCAAATTTGTGCTGTGCCTTCTAAAGGCATTGAAGATGAAAAGTTGTGCTATTTGCGAGTTTTCGTCAATGGGTGTGTCCGTGGCGTGGCGTCAAGATCAAGTCTTCGCCATGACACAGGAAGTTGTTGTAACTTCAGTGTACATGCACATCTGAACCAAACTTTACGTGCTTGATAACTCTCCCACCCCGCTATGGAGGACCGATCCTGACACAGTCAGAAATAAATACAGAAATAAATAAATGCTCAATAAATAAATAAGCTTCCAATTAAATACACAAAAAATAAAGTAAATAAATAAATGTGGTATAATTAAATTATACAAGGAGACATAAATGTATATATTTTAATTAGTGCCTTTACTTATTCACCTTTGTTATAATTACCTTATTTATTTATTCCCTTATAATCTTCAACTTTATTTATTACTAATTTTTTAATATATTTATTTATGTGTGTGTTTTAATATTTTTGTTTTTATTCTTCCTTTGTATTTTTCTACCTTATTATTTTCACCCATGGTATTTATTTCTGCCTGTCCTTTTTAAATTTCTGTATGCATTTCTGCCTCATTATGCAAATGAGGAGGGCCTGTGTCTCAAGGGGTCATCTTCTCTGCTATTGGTGGACCAGTCAGACAGGAGAGCTCTAGGCCTACTCTGCCTGCAGACATCAACGATCTTGCCCCTCACACAGTCAGATGGCTTCCTTCAGTGCGCTGAGGTGTTAACAACTCTGAAGACACTACCAGCCATGTCTTCCTTCTCTTTTCACGTAGACGCTCCGACAGACAGTGCTTTCAGTTTGCTGCATGCATGGACACAGAACTGCGGTACAGCGCACAGTAACGATGAATGTGTGCTGTTATCACATTCTTCCTCTGTATGTACACATAAACAACAAGGCAGGGAAATATAAAAGGAATTTATTTTATTGTTTGGGTACATTATTGTTCAGTGTACATGCTCACATCTGAAACAAACTTTGCGTGCTTGATAACTCTCTGACCCCCAGACATCTACACGTCAATACCGATTTATATTCATAGCGGCAAGTGCTATGTAGCTCCACATAGGGGACACAGGAAGTGACATATAGCACCTTCATGCGGCGACA